AGCCACCGGGTCCGGGATGCAAACCACGGTCGACTACGTGGGAGTCCAGTAACATAGCCATTACGCTAACTGCTGGTCCCAGAGTTTCCTTCTTTTTAAAGATGGAATAATATTCCATTGTATGTAAAAACCACATTTTATTTAACTAATTATATGTCAAGGGATTTTTAGGTTGTAGTGATTGCTTTTTGTTTTTTTGCTTTTTGTTTTTTGGGGTTTTTTTAGAGAGATTTTTGCTATATAGCATATGAGCTCGACAGAGAGACAGAGACAGAAAGTGAGAAATCACTCCCCAGGGTCGGGGGAGTGATGGCTACCCTGCAATTCCTTCTTTTCCATTCTTCTCTCAGGATTTTGGGTACACATGCACACGTGCCCAGCAAGAGTTTTAAGTCACCAGGTCCAGTACACGAACTGTGGTCGACTACATGGAAGTTCAGCGACATAACCATTACCCTATCTGTTGGTCCCGCACCTATATTCCAGATGATTCTAATCTTCTTGACAAGCCTTTGAGTTCTCTTTCCAACTAGACAAACAAGGGCTCCGAGAGGTTCATTGACTGTCCCAAGACCAGGTGCGTGACTGGGTCAGATATTGACCTGGGTTTATTTGACTCCAGAGGCCACAAACCTACTCCCACTAAGCCATGCTGTCAGGGGAGCCTGGACTTTATTCTGCATGCTGTGGGGATCCATACAGAGAGCCGAGGAGCAAACCAGATAAGCTTTAAGTTCTGACCTTAGGAGAAAGGTGCTTCATAATTGCAGCCCTAGAAAGGACAGAGTTTTTGTTTCAAAGGTTGTTACAGACATTGTGGAAAAAAAAAAAAATCAGTACCTTTATTGTTCTGTTGTAGCAGCTGGGTTTTAATCTGCTAGAAGTGTTTTGGGGATGGTTTTGTTCTTAAGAACAAAGCCCCTTGTCAGGGAAATGTTAGGTATTCAAATTTGTGATCTGGCCACAGTAAGGTGCCCAGGACCCAGGCTGAGAGTAAATTCAGCAGCTGGGGCTGAAGGAGAACTCATGCACAAGGGCTCCTGCTAACCCGGCTAGTAACTATTCCCTGAGGGAAGTCACTTCCTACTTCTGACCCTCAGTTTCCTCATTGGCAAAAGGTGGTCCCTGGGCTGGTAGCAGAAGTTCTCTTGTCCAGGGCATGAAATACAGCCGGTAACATGCAGAGCAGCTCTTTGGTTCAGGGTGGGTGCTGCTCCCCCTTGCTATCCTCCTCCCATCCCCATCCCCACAGCTTCCTCTCCAGCCTGGAGGG